CTTTGACTCACCAGCGAAAATTGGATTTTTGGAAATTCCTCTGAGGTCCATTTTTAGTATGTATTTCCAGGTATGGCCTGGGCTACCTCTCACTGAGATTTTTCTCTAGGGAAGTGCATTAGTGTCCTGCAAGGGGAGATGAAGCTGGGCAGCTGGCTCAGACACCTGCCGTCATCTGTCGTCGAGTTCCAGCCAGTGCTCCGAGCCCTGGCACATCCCATCAGCCAGGAATACCTGGGAGACACGCTGCAGAAGTAGATCACCATGTGAGTAGCACATACCTCTGAGGCGGGCCTGGCCCCCGTGCAGCCTGCGATGTGGCCATACACGGGTCAGTGAGGTCTGTGCAAAGAATCCAGGCCACTTGGCTGAAGTGCCCCTGCGTTCCCCTGGGGGAGAACCAAGGAAGAAAACTGTCTTTGACAATATTATGTAGGGGCCCTTAAATTCTCTTTGAGTGTTGTGATCCCTAAAATTTTATTTATTGCTCTGCACTCATGTTTGTATCTGTTCCATTGGGGCTTTCATAATAGATTTCATTAGTTCATAATGATAGATTTCATCATATCTTCAGGAAAGCAAGAGTTGAGAGGGTCACTGCATCCATGTCCCAGTTCAGCCAGAAATATTGACATAGAAATGCTATGAATATATACACACAGGCCCAGGTAAGGGGTTTTCCCTCTGAGTGCGATGTCCAAATTTGAAAATTTTGGGAAGCTAAGGCAAGTGGATTCACGTATGAGCCTGGCATGGAGAAGTAAATAACATTGCCAGATCTTATCTCTAAACAAAATTAAAAACAGGGCTTGGGTGGGTCTATCTTAGTGAGAGGCCTGGGTTCAGTCACACATACCCCATGATCCAAAAACGGACAGTCTTGTTTTTCTTAGTAACAGGGCAAAGCCCAAGGAAAACGAAGTACAAGTGTAATAAAGGTGTTAAGAACAGGATCACCCACCGCCTCCTGTACGTGAAGAGCATAAAAGGTCTGGCTGGGATCCGGGATGCCATGTGGCAGTTACTTACAAGTGAGCCCGCCAGACACAGCTGGGAGGTGGTGTGCTGGCGGCTTCTGGAGAAGCCACTCTGTTCTGGGAGGACGTGATGCAGCAGCTGTTCCTGGACCGCCTACAGGTGAGGCGGGAAACCACCTGGGCCCCCTGTTTCACGGCCGGCCCAGTGTAAACTTGTGTCTATCCTGAGAGCCTCCTGTCACTCCCTGGGTTTATTCTGTCCCTACTCACTACCACTTGGAGAAACTAGACCTGAGCAGCATACCAGACCTCACTTAGGTAGCCTGGAACAAGCCCCTGTCTGTCAGTGACAGTGTCTTTGATTCTCTACCACACCATTAAGATTTTCTGAATGTTGCAGGAACTTACCATTTGGTACTATTGTTTTGAAATTTCATTAAAAATAAGGATGAGAATTCTCCGTTCCTTCTCTTTCAGATGACACAGGAAGGCTTCACATTCATCTCCTGTAGCTCCAAAGAGCTCAGCTCTGCAGGAACTTGAGAACAGCACCAGGAGTTCCACACCAAATCAGCACATTCTCTTCACGCAGAACATGTCTCTCTTCCTCGGGCACGAGAGTCCTATTGACCTGCCTTCTGATGCTGCCGGGGTCAGTGTGGCAAATGAAACCCAGGTAGCCAGTAGCGGCCACTCCATGAAAGCTCAGGCTTAGTCTTTGTGTCCAGAACTTCTGTGCAGTCTTGAATTCTGAAGTATAAATCAGATGACAAGGTAGAAATGAAAGGTCTCTTGCAAGGTATTTTGTTACTTGCCTCTGATCCCAGCAGTCTCAGAGGCTGAGGCAGGACAGTCATAACTTCAGACACAGACCGGGCAACTTACTGACACAGCCAGACAGTGTACTTCTTCAATGTAAACATCGTAATCACTGCACTCTCCATTTGTCACGCATGAGGTAGTCCTTCATTTAGTAAGGTGTATAGCCTGGTGAACCTCAGACCACAGAAGGGAGAAGTTCACAGAGGCTTCCTGTCTGGGAGATGCTTCAGCAGAGAACTGAAGATCCTAGCATATGTACCTTGAAATGGTTAATGGGCCCACCTTTGCTATGTGTCATTTAATTGGTATAAATTGGCAACGTGACATACTTTTGTTCTTTTAGCCATTCTGGTATGTACAGTTCTTCCTGTTTAACTTAAGCCAAGAAATCGGGTTGGAAGCCACACCTTGCCAAAGCTGAGACTCTAGGGGATGCTGAAAAACGGCATGGTTCAAGTAGTCTCTGCCTATGAGAAACTTTCAGAAGGAAAGCAGAAGGTGGGTGTTTGATTTCCCCCCCCCGCCCTAGTAACAAACAAAGGCTTCTGTTTTTCTTGGGTGCTGCTGGCAGTTCACGTCAAAGGTCTGGAGTGTTAAGTGTCACGCAGCCCAGGCATCCGGTCCTGTAAAGGCTCCTGCAGCTCTGTGGCTCACACCCATTCTCTTGGGGCATACTAGTCTCCCTGAAGGAGGAGGTTCAGGACAAGTGAGCCAGATGGTGGCTTTCAGAGAATGGAGGCCCGGCTCACAGCCCTGGCGCTGCCACCTGCTCACTGCAGACTTTGGGCAAATGATTAACCTTGCATTTCCTTCTGTGTGCCCAGTAGATGAAGTCTTCAGCTGGTTCCTCCCAGCTAACATGGAGATCTCCGCACTCATCCTCAGCAGGGGTGCCCGTTAGGAGGGCAGCTGCTCAGCACAGCTGTGGCACAGGCAGGAGTAGGGGAAAGTCTGTGTCCCCCAGCCTCTGCTTCCCACTGCATTAGACACATGTGAAAGACAGGAGCAGTCCTGACGGGGGAACAAAGTCAGTGAGTTCTGCTCTGCCAGGGTTCCTCACCATATGCCTCCTTCACGCACGAAGCCCTGGTTTGCAGAAATGACACCTACAGCAGCCGTGAGGCCTGTTTGATTAAGGGCAGGGTCTCCCTGAATGCTCTGCTCTTAGGTTTTTAGCCTTCCGACCCAGCTGCTAGTGCACACTGTGGTTGTGAGATTAACCCTGCCTGGGAAACACCAAGGTGTAGCCCAGTCAGAACACGCAGTTAGTCACTGTGCCACGTAATGAGCCATGTGTCCCTGGGCTGGGGACTCACTTGCAGAAGGAAGGCGCATTCCCACTGACCCAGAATTGGGCGCTGCAGCTCCTCTATGACCTGCACTACCTCTGCATTGTCCTCAGTAGCAAGCAAGAGATGAAGAGTGGTCACGGCAAGCTGGACTGCAGGTGCTGCCTCTCTGCTGGGCTCTTCTCACCTCTCAGCAAGGTCTCTTCCCAGTGCAGACAGACACTCCCTGCTCTTAGGGGCTGTTTTCATTTTTTTTTTCAGTCATTTGGTGGGAAAACAGCAAGCATTCAGAATTGCCATTCACATGTGGGAACTGAGGCTTTTCCTGGGCTCGCGCTATGCATTATGATCCTCTCTCAAAATGTTGGTCAGCATCCAGAGGCCACGGCTCCAGAACAGCCCTGTAGTCACAAAGAGAAGCCACGTACCCTCTGAGCAGGCGCTGGTACTTGGCTGTGGTGGTCAGTTCCAGTTTACAGTGCTTTCAATTTACAGTGGTTTGCTGGGACCTGACCCCCTCAGAAGTGTAGTGCTGGGTGCATTTCATGTCAAGCAAAGTAGGCAGAACTTCATTCCTCTGGAGGTCTGGCTTGTGATTTAAGATCTCAGTGCTTCTAGAAACAGAGCAGAAAGGAATGGTTTTGCCTTAGATATCAAATCTACTTGAGAACTTTTTTAAGTAAAAAATATGTAAAATTGTCATCCTTTAAAAAACCTGGAAAATCGGTGTTTAGCTCAGTGTCACAGTGCCTCCCTAACAAGAACAAGGTGCTGAGTTGATTCCCAATACATACCCCCTCCCCACCCCACCACCGCCGAAAAAACCCTGGAAAACCATGATGGTACAACTTTTCTAAGAGTGAGAAAATGGCTGAGCACTTGGAAGCTCTCATCGACCCCTTTGACCTAGATGTGTTCACACGTTCCTCAGAGCAACCTCCATCTCCTGGTGCAGCAGACTTCCGTAAGTTGCCTCCGAACACCCTCAGTGTGCCAGAGGCCCACATTACATGACAGACCTGCTCAGCAGTTAGTACTCCGGGATGTCCACTGGGACGGTGGGTTGTTTCCCAAGTGACTGCAGGGCTCCCCTGGAGCTGTGGCCTCCTGGCACTGACCAGCATTTTGAGACAGGACCATAATGCCTAGCGCCAATCTACAGAAAGCCCCAGTGCAAAATGTGAAAAGGGCAGTTTCCTCACGAGTAGGGAGTGTCTGTCTGCACTGGGAAGAGACCACTTTGGGGGGCCCAGAAGAGATGCAGTACTTGAACAAATACAGTACACAAGTAATTGAGCAGAGTTCCAAAGACTGAAAGAGGACGAGACAAAATTCCTGGGGTGCCTGTGACCCAGCCTCTTAAAACTATAGGTTACGATTAACAGTTTCACACAAACCTCAGAAAGAAAGCACGTGAGATTTCCATCGGGGGCAGTGGCATAAGGTAATTCTGAAGTATTAACACACTCCGAACAAAGGTTAGAGATAAAGTAGTGATGTTCGCACTTAAAGACCTGCTTGTTTGCCCTGAACAGTGAAATCCTGCATTTTCCTCTGCTCACTCTTCTACATCGGTTGTTTGGATTGCTTACTGGTACAGAGAACCAGTTCACGCTCTGGAGCAGTTAAGTTCAACTCCCAGGAAGCCCCAGCATACTGTCACTAGCCTCAAGTCAGGTCCTAAAAACTCTCACTGGGCCCCAAGATTGCTCCTTCATGCCCCTGAAATCCCTCTGCTCCCCTTGGAGGTTTGGCTTGCCTCCACTGAGCATGACAAGCATGCAGAAGGCTAAGTCAACCGGCAGAGGTGTCAAAACAAAAGCCCAGGTTAGTGCCCAGAAAGTGCAATCCTGTCCCATTGCACCCCAGTCAGCTCCATGTCAAATAACTGAGAAAGAACCAAATGACAAAATGCACTAATGCTGCTTTTAATGGTGGTGCAATAGAGAAATACAAGGTTTTACTAGCTTGAACCAAAGGAAGATTTAACATATGCCCGTTGACACTACCAAGAGCCTTATAGTAGAAACACATCCCAGGCAGAAGGCTGTAGAAAATGTGCAAGCAGGATGAAGATGGTTTCTTGCATTAAGTACAGCAAGAGACAGCATTGCCAACTCAGCATAACAGTTGCACCAATTTGGAGAAAATCCTTTTGTTCTGCTGATGGTTCCATCTTCCTTAGTTTTTAGTTGCATGGAAAATAAATGCTTGCTTCCTGTTTTTACATTTTCTTGTTGATACACATCTTGTTTCAGTAGGATGCCATCCGTTGAGCCTGAAGGAGTCCTCCTGGGTTTCTGTGTGGTATACATGTGTTTGAGAGCTCAGCTTGTCACAGCATTCAGTTGTTGAATTGTTAGACAAAATATTAGCAACATGTCCGTTCCATATTCCCTGCTATCAAACCCATTAAGATCCAAAGTTCTTGTCAAACATCTGGTTTTTGAATCTGGGAGACAGTAAAGAATTAAAAAGATAAAAAGCTCTTTGCCAAAAATCCACACTCCTTAAGCATGGCCTGTGTTGTAACTTTTCCCCATAACACTGGTTTCCACATTCTGCTACTGGCCTTTAAATTCTATCCCTATTAGAGGAACAGACTGTGGAAAGCAGGTACATAGGGTTACTCTCTTCCTGGATTGGTTTTCCTTCTCGAGATTTGAGTTCTGTCAGATACTAAAACCCCGTGCTGTCCCCCACATCCTTTCCAACCTTGAAAGAGCAAAGTCCTCTTAGCAGAGCCATCCAGCTGTCTCAGCCCTGCTGTGTGTCTGTGTGGCTTCCAACTGGAGGGGCATGGACTGCAGTGCAGGGCAAGGGAAGGGGAGCAGGCAGAGGCTTCAGGTGGACTCTAAGGCACTTCCTCTACATCCTGTGGCAGGTTGGCCCCCTTGCACTCTGCAGAGCAGGTGACCCTGCGCAGCCCGGCTCCCTCTTCACTGGTGCCAGACAGCTCGCCAGTGAGGAAGACGAAACATCTGCACCTTCATTATTCAAACTCAGCTGGCTCTCAAGTATGACAAAATAACACAGGAGCATGCCCATCTCTCTAAATAAATACTACTGGACTAGTATTTCCCTGGAAGGTGCCTCTCCTCCTTTCTTCCTAAACCATCTCATTCCCTAGTCCTGTCAAGGGGGACTTTAAACAAAGTTACTCCTCACCCAGTATTTTCATTGTTGGTCACTTTGGACAGCAGTTCAGCTAGCTTATGCTTGCTTTATCAGCAGCACACATCTATGCCTCAGCTATTGACACTGCCAGATGGAATGATGTGAGATCACATGAGCTATGGGTACAAGTAACAAGCTTGTAAGCAAGACAAAAAGTTGTCACACATTCCTTGACTTGCAGAACTGTGCAGTATTTTCTAATGCGGTCTGAGGTGCAGACTCTGCAGGAAAAGTGATACAGAAGTTATCTGGCTATACAAGAGTCTGAAGGACAGTCCCCCTGGAAGTACAAATATATAACAGAGAGCAGACCTTCAGTAGCGAGGGTGCTTCACTTCCACAGTAAATTGGATCTGATTGTTCTGATAAAACAGACAGCGTACTTCCCATAGGAGGCCCATATACTAAGAGGTAGTATGGCAATTAGTTTCAGTGCAAGACTGAATCAAGCTTCCTATCTTTTGGGAAAAACTTTTTTTTTCATGGAATACTCTTCACTAGTTTACTGAATTAAAACTGAAGATCCTGCATTTTTAAAAGACCCTTTTACACAAAGTAGAACTTCTAATCGACAGATTGGGGAATTAGTCTGAATTGGACACACTATGGATATGACACACAGATGAAATTTCCTACTACTACTACCTTGACATGGATTTGATAATCTCCCTTGAAAGAATCCTATAAAAAATTGCTTCAAAGCCCCTTTGAAATTGCAATAGTGCAGCAGAACCACAAGTAAACAATTGCCTGTTAACTTGTTATTTCAAATAGACTGAAAAGTCAACAGGCAGGGTTTTTGTGTGCAATTTTTCAAAACAAACTGTAAGTTGAAGTATCAAATCTGCACAGCACTGTCCCTTCACAGAAGGCAAGAAACTTCTGGTGCATCATGTCAGAGGCCGTCCTCGGTGCTGTAGGCTGTGAAAGTGGGCCTCCTTCAGGGTCTGGTTGATGTGGTAGTAAGGGCCTTGGCACAGTGCAGACTGCTCGGGCTGTGGGGTGTTGGGGCTGGATCTGGGGATGACCTGGCTTAAGCCACTCTCTGGCCCACTGGCCCGGTCTGGGCTGTGGATGCTGGTGCTGCTGCTGCTGCTCCCGCCACTGTCACTGCTCGAAGACTGAAAGGAAAAGGAAAAGCAAAGATCATCATCAGCTTGTCTTGCTGCATACCCCTACCTTACCTGTGCTTAACATGTAGTAAGAGTCTTCTACTCGTTCAGCTACTGGCACAAGCATGGACTCTGGGCCTCACAGGTTAGAAGACACATTCATCTATGCTCCTGCATTCTACCCGCACAGCTGTCTTGCTACGTGGGGTAGATTAACCCTGCAATACAGTAAGAAGTGGTGTATCTGGATATAAGCAGGCCTTCCAAGTACACATCCTTCAACTACTGTGCTTCCTCAAAAGTAAGCTGGGCCTAGGATTTAGCTCAGCAGCATGAACACCTGCTTTGCAAGCGTGCAGTCTTAAGTTTGATCTCTGGTAGCAAAAAAAAAAAAAAAAAAAAGAAGAAAAAAAAATTTTTAGCTTGGAGCAGGTTTTAGCATGATTCTAGAAAAGATATTCCCTGAAAATGAACCCTATTGCACCTTCTGGAACAAACCTTAATACAAACTCTTTAAGATACAATGGGGTCATCTTCCAGGAGTGTCTCCTCCAAAGTCATCCCAGAATTTGTTTTTTGGAGAACATCAATCCATCTCAGCTGGGTGTGGTGGCAAATGTTTAGAATCCCAAATCCCCAAGTTGGAACCTAGCTTGGGCAAATTAATGACTTACACTCTATCTCAAAATAATAACAGGTTGGGGCATGCAGCTCAGTGGAAAGATCCTGGGTTCATTCCCCAGTATCACAAAAAAAGTAAATAAATAATAACTACATCTTAATTCCTTTACACCTCTCTCTACCTGCTATTACTATCCATCCCAATACTCTCCAATAACCAAAGAAAGAAGTACTCATCTCTAGGGAAAAGTGACATGGTATTAAAAGAAAAAAAAAAAAAAAAAGATCTCCCAACACAAATAAGATGGGTTCTGGTAACAAGATTAGAAACTAAAAATTTATGGCCAGGCGTAGTGGCACACACCTGTAATCCCAGCACTCTGGAGGCTGTGGCAGAAGGATCAGAGTTATAAACCAGCCTGGGCTACAAGGTGAGTGCAAGGTCAACCTAAACTGTATAGTGAAATGTGTCTCAAAAAAGACCCCCTCCCCAACAAAGGGAGAGACTAGAACTTCATGCTAAGTTTGTGATCATCTCATCCTGGACACATAAAGGTGTTCTGTAACTACTCAAAGCAGAATATACATATTTCTTAGAAAGTTATGTCAACACTTGCAATTTAGTATATGTGTGTGTATGAGTGTACCTCCTGTTTTCTTCCACATAACTAAGATGATTTGGTGTTCTAATTACCCCTTTTTTCGAGACAGGGTCATGCTATGTATGTAGCCCATGATGGTTTTAAATTTGACCCTCCTGTCTCAGCCTCCTGAGTGCTGGAATTACAGGTATGCACACCATGCCTGGTCCTTTTTAGTCATCCTGATAAAATTACTGTTCAGAAACTTACTGTCCCTAATCAAGTCATTCTCGGAAATTCCTGTCTCCAATATTATGATTCTAGAGGCAGAAGATAACACTACTGACCCATTTCACAATTAAACATTTTTAAAATGTTAATACTGCATTTAAATAGCAGTCCTTTTCTCTATAATGCAATATAATACTGGAAAGAATATATGAGAAAATTAAAATTACAATAATGATCTAGTATGTAATTTTTAAAAAACTTGTCCCTTGTCCATACATCCAAAATTTATGTTCTTTTTAAATAAAGACTTTGGTTTTCAGATATCTGCTTATAATAATATAAAGTCTACACATGAGCCAGGCATGGTGGCATATGTCTGTAATCCCAGCACTCAAGAGACTGAAGTAGGAGGATCATTGTTGAGTTTGAGACTAGCCTGGGCTAAAAAAAGACCCACACATGTAAGACTAAAAAACGAAAGACAGTAGTTACGTTAGAATGAAAGAACTGTAACTACTTATTTTTCTACCCAACTCTTTTCAGTGTGGCTTTCATATACTGTTATTAAAAACATTTGGAGCTACTTAACACTGCACATACTCCACTGCTTACAGGTAGAAGATAACTGCAGTCAAGAAATTTCTAGGGGCTGGGGATTTAGCTCAGCAGCATAAGCACCTGCCTTGCAAGCAGGCAGTTGTGAGTTCAATCCCGGGTACCGGAAAAAAATAAAGAAAAAAAAAAAGATTTTAAAAAAAGAATTTTCTATGTAAAAAATAGTATAATAGGGAAAATGAATTCAAAGGCCAGGGTTAGCTGCAATTCAGTTTACTTAAAGTGTTAAGAAATAGACAATTTAAAAAGAGCCAGCTATGGTAGTATGCCTGTAATCCCATTCAGGAGGCTGAGGCAAAAGGATCTCTGTAAGTTCAAGACCAGCCTGGGGTACACAGTGACTCTGTCTCAAAAAAATCAAAAGAATAAAACAAAGATTAATTCAAAAAGAAAAAAAAAACTTTGCTACAAAGGCCTCTCCTAACCTAGTATAACTGTCTAGAATGGCCATCTATCTTAAAGTCATGAATATTTAACTAGCAGGTAATGAAAATGGATCAGAAACCCACCACAAAGAATGCTTTGTTTCTTCTTAGTCTGTTAAATGTTTTTTATTAGAGGTATTATCTGAAAATTAGGGCAGGAACTAGATCAATTCTCATCTCAAATTATATATAGTTCACACTATGAAAGTAAAGGTGACAGTATGGAGAACAGGTAAATATTTTTTAAACAGAGAAGATTTCTGTATAGCAATATTTTTAAAAGGGTAAAAATACGTGCAATTTCTGGTTCATTTTTAAAATCCTATAATCAACTTTGTAATGATATAAACATGTTTAGTGTAGCTTTATAAAAGCTAACTAGCAACAACCTAAACATCTAATAGAAAATGGATAAATTATAATATAATCATATCACAAACTCTACTCATCCATTAACAACATATTTTAAGACAGAGGTCTGTAACATCGTATATAGTTTATACTAAATAGTATGTATAGCATGTCTCAGCTGCTTTTTAAAGTGCCTTTCTTTAAGGTAATGTGTATACCAAAAATAGTCTGGAACGATATAGATGGCAAAATGTTTCAAATTTTGATCTTTTATTTTATTTTTGTTATTTTTTAAGGCTCCTAAAAATTTTTTTTGAGGAAAAAATTAATCATAAGTAGGTAAACTAAAGAATGCGACTACAGAGGTAGGTAAGGCCTTCAATTTTTCTACTTTCAGATTGAGCAAAATAAATAAATAAATAAACAAACATATTTATTGCCTGCTGGGAAGGTTTCAGATCTATTTTGCCTCTTTTATCCACTTAATGTTTAGCTTCTCAGCAGTGACAAATTCCCCAGAAGAACATATCTCTCATTAAGGGTCCCCTTCTTCCCTGTCTGCAAGAGAGGACCAAATGCGAATGCCCAGTGCAGAGCCCCAGCTCCTACCGCGTGGATGTAAAAGGCTTAAACGCTAGAAAGCCACCAGGAGTTAGCCTGGCACACTAGTTGCGGCCTACAGAAGAAAAGGCAAGGCTTTCAGAGAGATGGTGGAGGAAGTGGCACTCAAAGCACACTAATTTGGGATGTGTGGGAAACCATCCCAGAACACACATTTCGGATAAAAACAAAAACATCTAAAATGACATGTAATCCCAGTACTTGGGAAGCTAAGGCAGAAGGAGCACTGAGTTTGAGGTCAGCATGGGCTACATAGTGAGTTCAAGGCCAGTCCGATGTAGTGCGACGACCCTGTTTCAAAACAAACTGAAACAAAAATCTAAAGTTGCTCCAATTGTGGTCCTGAGTATTGAGCTAACAGAAAGTCTAAGCAGGGCCTGGATCAATGTGTTACCTTAATGCATATAAAGTCTTAACTCCTGTCCTCAAAGTTAAGAATAATCCATCTCTTTCAAAGACACTAGTTGTTCTCTGTCAATTCAGGTTGGGCTTCTCACTACTGGGGAGGCTTTGGAAACCTCACAATCTATAGGTAGACCAGGACTTTTGAAGTCAGGGTAAAACTCATTGGTGGGTAGCATAATAAAAATAAACAGTACAACACATTAAGGACAACCACCCTGTCAAGCCTTTCTTCAGTGATTGACATACACATTTGTTATGTCCCAGGTCACAAATTTCTATGAGCAGGGTCAAAAAAGTTTTACTACAATCAATCTAAACAATGTTGGCCATCAAATGGTCTCTTTTCTGGGATAAAGGAAGGACTTTCTACTTTAAAAGCATAAAAACTGAAATTTTAGTCTCCAACAGTACCTTAAGCCATACAAAGAAGCTACACAAGGAAAAGTCAGCGCCTCCTGAGAATCGGCCATGCTGGGACTGGGAGGACCTAACAGAAGCCAACTAGCCAGCCTTTCCAGTAAGCAGGGTCCAGGAAGAAAAAAGTCAGACAGGCCTTCTGTGAGCCTACAGGTGTACAGCTGAGAATCAAACTCCCCCACCTTTGCCGCAGGCAACCAGCTAGTTTGGAGGACAGGCTGAACTGATGTTGATACCAACTAAGGTACAAAAAGCCACTAAATGCTTGTATTGTTTGGTTGATTTTGCAGGCCTGTGGCCAGTGGTCTGAGCATCTATTGGGAGAATGACGTATGCAGTGTAGCAAATATGGGGGACTTCCTTGTGTCTTATTGTTTTGACTGTTTTGTTTTGTTCAGTGTTCTGTTTTGACTGGTTTGATTTTGTTACACCTGATGGAATGGACAACTATTGTGAAAATAATAAGATACACTATGGTAGCTACTGTTTTCCTAGTATCCTGCTTTGAAGTTCTGTACCAATTTTGCTGCTTTGTTTTGATTGGTGTTTTTCTGTTTTGATTTGTTGGATTTTATTATCTTTAAAATAAAAAAAAATTTAACAGATATACAAAGAAGTAAAATTGCTTCTGTCCTCTAAAACCAAAGTTAAAGAAAAATACAATCACATTTCCTTGATTTGGTGACACTTAATGCAGGAGGGAAGTCACTATTCAACAGTGCTTCATTCTAAAAGTTGAAAC